TTTACCCGGATCTGGCGCAGGAAAGGGATAGTGCCCAACTTCAAGTTGTCAATTATATCCTTTCTGGAAACGGTAAACCAATTCGAGGAATTTCTGATACAAATATTCAATTAGTTCGGACTTGTTTAGTATTGAATTGGACCGAAGACAAAAAAAGTTCTTCTAGTCAAGAAGCCCGTGCTTCCCTTGTTGAAATAAGGGCAAATGGTTTGATTCGACATTTCCTAAGAATCGACTTGGCAAAATTCACTATTTCATATATCGGAAAAAGGAATGATCCATCGGGCTCAGGGTTTCTCTCTGCTAATGGATCAGATTTCACCAATATCAATCCGTTTTCTTCTATTTATTCTTATTCCAAGGCAAGAATTCAACAACCCCTTAATCAAAATCAAAGAACTATTCATATGTTATTGAATAGAAATACGGGATTACAGTCGTTAATAATTTTGTCATCATCCAATTGTTTTCGAATGGGTCCATTCAATGATGTAAAATATCACAATGTGATACAAGAATCAATTCAAATTACAAAAGATCCTCGAATTCCAATTAAGAATTCGATGGGGCCTTTAGGAACAGCCTTTCTACTTACAAATCTTTATTCATTTTACCATTTAATAACTCATAATCAGATCTTGGTAAATAACTATTTGGAACTTGAGAATTTAAAACAGACTTTTCAAGTAATTAAGTATTTTCTAATGGATGAAAATGAGAAAATTTCGAACCCCGATTCACGCAGTAACATTATTTTCAATTTGAGTTGGGATTTTCTTCATCTCAATTATTGTCAAGAAACATCTACAATAATGAATCTTGGGCAGCTTATTTGTGAAAATATATGTATAGTCAAAAACGCATCACACCTAAAATCGGGTCAAATTATACTTGTTCAAGTTGACTCTGTAGTAATACGATCAGCTAAGCCTTATTTGGCCACTACAGGAGCAACTGTTCATGGTCATTATGGGGAACTAATGTACCAAGGAGATACTTTAATTACATTTATATATGAAAAATCGAGATCTGGTGATATAACCCAGGGGCTTCCAAAAGTGGAGCAGGTGTTAGAGGTGCGTTCGATTGATTCAATATCAATGAATCTAGAAAAGAGGGTTGAAGGTTGGAACGAGCGTATAACAAAAATTCTTGGAATGCCGTGGGCATTCTTGATTGGTGCTGAGCTAACTATCGTGCAAGGTCGTATCTCTTTGGTTAATAAGATCCAAAAGGTTTATCGATCTCAGGGGGTGCAGATTCATAATAGGCATATCGAAATTATTGTACGTCAAATAACATCAAAGGTCTTGGTTTCAGAAGATGGAATGTCTAATGTTTTTTCACCCGGAGAACTAATTGGATTGTTGCGGGCGGAACGAATGGGGCGCGCGTTGGAAGAAGCAGTTTGTTACCGAGCCCTCTTATTGGGAATAACAAGAACATCTCTCAATACTCAAAGTTTTCTATCTGAAGCGAGTTTTCAAGAAACGGCTCGAGTCTTAGCAAAAGCAGCTCTCCGGGGTCGAATCGATTGGTTGAAGGGCCTGAAAGAAAACGTTGTTTTGGGGGGTATGGTACCTGTTGGTACCGGATTGAAAAGATTAGTGCCCCCTTCAAAAGAATATACCAAGAGCCCTTTGGAAATAAAAAACAATCTATTCGAGGGGGAAATGAGAGATATTTTGTTTCATCACAGAAAATTATTGGATTCTTTTCTTTCAAAGAACTTCCATGATAGAGCGGAACAATCGTTTATAGGATTTAATGATTCTTAAAAGTGGATTCCTCTTTTTGACTATCTGGATTTGGTGCAGTCATTTGATTTGGTAATCAAAATAGTAAGCAATAGAAAAGACAAACGGCTTGGGCGTCTATCTACGGCCAATCTACGGTAGAAGAGAAGGTTCCGTCGGAACAATTATTTATTTCAGTTCAAGGCTCCTCGTCGCTTTTTTTTGAAATGAGGGGGGGTGTGGGGAGAAATGACAAGAAGATATTGGAACATTAACTTGGAAGAGATGCTGGAGGCAGGAGTTCATTTTGGCCATGGTACTAGGAAATGGAATCCTAAAATGGCACCTTATATCTCGGCAAAACGTAAAGGTATTCATATTACAAATCTTACTAGAACTGCTCGTTTTTTATCTGAAGCCTGCGATTTGGTTTTTGATGCAGCAAGTAGAGGAAAACAATTCTTGATTGTTGGTACCAAAAATAAGGCAGCTGATTCAGTAGCACGGGCTGCAATAAGGGCCCGGTGTCATTGTGTTAATAAAAAATGGCTCGGCGGGATGTTAACAAATTGGTCGACTACAGAAACGAGACTTCATAAGTTCAGGGACTTAAGAATGGAACAAAAAATGGGAAGACTCAACTATTTGCCGAAAAGAGATGCGGCTGTGGTGAAAAGACAATTATCTCGCTTGCAAACATATCTGGGCGGGATTAAATATATGGCGGGGTTACCCGATATTGTAATTATCGTTGATCAGCATGAAGAATATACGGCCCTGCGAGAGTGCCTCACTTTGGGAATTCCAACAATTTGTTTAATCGATACAAATTGTGATCCCGATCTTGCAGATATTTCGATTCCCGCGAATGATGACGCTATATCTTCAATCCGCTTAATTCTTAACAAATTAGTATTCGCAATTTGTGAGGGCCGTTCTAGCTATATAAGAAATCCTTAATTAATAATAAGATAAATAACTTTTACTTCGAAAATCGGATAGAATCGGTTATTTTTTATTTATTTTGAAAAATGTATCAAAATAACTGGAGATATTATGTGATTAGTTAGTATTGAAAATATTAGTTGATACTCAAAAGATCCGATTCAAGTAGACAAAGAGATGGTTGAATCAAAATAATTTTGTTTAAAGTTCCATTTTTTTCCAGAGGACAATATGAATGTGCTATCATGTTCCATCAATACACTATACGATATATCCGGTGTGGAAGTAGGCCAACATTTTTATTGGCAAATAGGGGGTTTCCAAGTCCATGGACAAGTACTTATTACTTCTTGGGTTGTAATTGCTATCTTATTAGGTTCAGCTACTATAGCTGTTCGGAACCCACAAATCATTCCGACTGGGAGTCAGAATTTTTTCGAATATGTTCTTGAATTCATTCGAGATGTGAGTAAAACTCAAATTGGAGAAGAATACGGCGCTTGGGTTCCTTTTATTGGAACTCTCTTTCTATTTATTTTTGTTTCCAATTGGTCAGGAGCTCTTTTACCTTGGAAAATCATAGACTTACCTCATGGAGAGTTAGCCGCACCCACGAATGATATAAATACTACTGTTGCTTTGGCTTTACTCACGTCAGTGGCGTATTTCTATGCGGGTCTTACCAAAAAGGGATTAAGTTATTTCGGGAAATATATTCAACCAACCCCAATCCTTTTACCCATTAACATTCTAGAAGATTTCACAAAGCCCTTGTCACTTAGTTTTCGACTTTTCGGGAATATCTTAGCGGATGAATTAGTAGTTGTTGTTCTTGTTTCTTTAGTACCTTCAGTGGTTCCTATCCCTGTTATGTTCCTTGGATTATTTACAAGTGGTATTCAAGCTCTTATTTTTGCAACTTTAGCTGCGGCTTATATAGGTGAATCCATGGAGGGTCACCATTGAAATAGTCTTTTTTCCCTTAGCGCAAAGCAGTAGTTCACGATGATTTCCTTAAGGAATATAAATATAGAAGACTTTCTATATGATAGAAAAAAATGGGAACAAAAAAATAAAAGATTACGATATTAGAGAGTTGTAAAAACAAAAAAGGAAAGAGATCCAAAAGATCTTTTTCCTAAACCTAATTTTTCTTTCGTCCGCTTAATATCCTACCTTTCCGTAACGAAGATTTACTTTTATATTAGTCAGTCAATCTTCTTATTCAAATCAGAATTTGAATAAGATATGATATAGATATAACGTTTGATTAAATAAAAAAAGAGGGGAAAGGAGAAAAGAATTTCTAAAAATCGGATTTCTAAAAAAATGGATTGATTCTCGAATCCGATTGAATCCAATGGTTTACGTTATGGAAGAAAGACATGTATATGTGATATTAGATATTGGCTGGTTCTCTATGAACTAAAGATATATTTTAGTTGCCCTACTGTTGTGTGCGAGTTTCAATAGAAGTCTTTCCGTATTCTTATGGCTGTGAATTGGATGAATAAAGAGATGAAATCAAGAAAAGATGTAAGACTGGAAATAACAGTTCGGAACCAAGAAATGGAAGAACGAAAGTTCTATGGATTCAAAAAAATTCTGTGTATAGAAACAGATATCGGAGTCCTGAATATATGATATTCTTACTTAAACTCGAAGTTCTTAGTTCCTTTGACAGGATGAATCCTATTGATGGAATAATTAAGTCATAATTCATTGGTTGAGTGTATCATTAACCATTTATTTTTGTTGGTATGAGGAACTTATCATGAATCCACTGATTTCTGCTGCTTCCGTTATTGCTGCTGGATTGGCCGTAGGGCTTGCTTCTATTGGACCTGGAGTTGGTCAAGGGACTGCTGCGGGTCAAGCCGTAGAGGGTATCGCAAGACAGCCCGAGGCAGAGGGGAAAATACGCGGTACTCTATTGCTTAGTCTAGCTTTTATGGAAGCTTTAACTATTTATGGGTTGGTTGTAGCATTAGCACTTTTATTTGCGAATCCTTTTGTTTAAATCAAAAAATATGTATTTTTCGGATTTTAGGGCCTTGGATTTCTTGTTTGCTTTTTCAAATTGGATCAAGATATCATTCCTACAATTCCTTATTCGTTTAGAAAATAACCTATGGGAGGGGCTGATTTGCAGATGAGTAATTAGAATACCCTCTTGCTTTCATCCTTCGCCTTCGTGGAAACTCTTTTTATGAGGTCTTAAGGGGTAGTTCCTATTTTCGAACTCGAATACTTTTTCTTTTTGACTTGACTTCAAAAAAAAACAAAGAATAAATAAAAAGAGGGGTAAAGTGATAGAAA